CTCAAGATTTGGTCCAAGAAGTTACGGAGGGGAGGATGACGTGCGGTGTCTTTTTTCTAGTGATCTCAGTAACTAGGGTCTGGGTGCCTCTGCAGCTTCTCTTCCCTGGTCCCTGAGCAACTCCCTCTACAGAGCCAGAGAGGCCCAGTCAGTAGGCAATGGTGGGCGGAGGGGACAAGGGGAAACTCTAAGGAGATGGGGAAGGGAAGTCACCATTTACTCAACTGAAAACCATCACTCACAGACAACAGAGGTAGGTGAACAGGAGGGGAGCAAAGAAGAGTCTCAAAGCTTCTATGGAGGGAGACACACCCCTGTGAATAATAACCCCATGAATTATAAATGACTTTTTATTTTTTACAGAGCTTGTGAAGTCTGCACAACAGCCCTGTACAGATAAGGGACTCAGACCACAGAGGCCGCAATTGAGGGCCCTGGCACCTCCGAAAACGGGAGTCAGGAGCCTAAAAAAGGAGGATTAGTGGAAAGACTTTCAAAGTAAGAGCTAAACCCCTAGCTCCCCTTCTGACCCTGAAAGGAGGGAGAAGATGACAGGCTCTGGAGGCCACACCACATACCAGGAGGGCCATCCGAGGACAGAGAACTGAATCCAAATCCACATAGTGACCAGTGGGAGCCCCTGCTCTCTTCCCCAGCTGGCTCCCAGGCCTCCAAAACAGACAGGCTGGAGTCTCTGGAAACCCCCATTCCTGTGCCCACCCCCATCCTGCACAGACTGCAGATGTCCACCCACCAGGCCTCCAGGCCTCGTCCTGCCAACCCAAAACTTGAGGCTCTGTCACCTTTCTCTTGGCTAATTTCACGCAAATTCAATTGGGCCTTAGCCCCGGCTGGGTCTTAAATACATACTCACTGAAATCCAATTAACCTTCGATAAAGGGCTTACAATCAATAGTGGTCCTGTGGCTTGAGGAGGCTCCATCCAGCCTGGGAACGCACTCCTGCACGACCTTTACTTTTAATGAAATCAATGGCAGTCACTGTCACCAGCTCTTAAAGTCACTGGCAAATATGATCATCGAGTGAGGCCCTCAGTAATATCTGCTGCTGGGCTCAGAGATACAAGCAAACAAGGGCCCCTGCAGCTTGCTCCCCACAGCAGCAAGGGCTGCTGGCTCCCCACAGCTCTGCGTTCTCTGGCAGGTGAAGGCACCTAGGCAGAGTTGCCTTGTGCCTGGAAGTGCAAAACATCCCAGGTGCCCAGGCCCTCTGGCCTTGTGGTAGGTGGTTCCTGAACTTCATTGAGTATCTGAACCCACCTGGGGAGTTTGTTAAAATGCAGATTCTTCAAACCTTCCCACCCAAGATTCTAATTAGTAAATTTGGGGTGGGCCCAGGGATCTGCATTGTTAAATAAGCCTCCCAGTGATTCTGAAATGGATGGCTCAAGTCCTAGCTCCCAGCAAGCTGACAATCACTGCTCTCTCAAATACCCAAGCAGGAGGTACCCTTAGAGTCCAGCTAATACAAAACCTTCAATAAGAAAATTGAAGCCCAGAGAGAGAGAGTGATTTGTCCAAGGTCACACAGTGAGCCACTGGCAGAGCTGGAGTTTGAACTCAGGTCTCCTGCTACCTAGCCTGGCATTTCCCTACCCACGCCTATTGGGAACGGGTTACTTAAACTGGTCTTGAGGTCCTCACATGCTAGGCCCAGTGGGGCTGGGATGCTGCAGGGTGGGAGGACCTCTTCAAAATGCACTGGGGGTGACTCAACAAGTAGTTGGAGGGGTCTGGAGCCCCCTCACCCACCTCAAGATTCCTTCTAGAGCCTCTCCCTGCTGAGCCCCACCTTCCTGCTGAGTCACCAGCTTATAACAGCCAAGATGCCATTAACCACCCTACCCCTCAGGATTTGGCCCTTGTCACTCCTATCTGTCCCTTATATTTCCCTCCTCAAGGTACACATATAGGCAGGCTGTCTTCAGGAGGAAAAGTCACTCCAGGGATCATTCTCTGAGTCCCACAGTCCTAGGAGGACTTTAGAATCTCAGAAACCTGAAAGAAACTTTCAGTAATATGGAGTCTTTCATACTGCGTGTGTGCACACACACACATACACACACACCACCACCACCACCAGTCTTCCATGAAGCCTGTGGCTTTGATATTGGTTGGTAAGAGACATAACAGACTGATTTCTACAAAGTAGGGCGTATTGCTGGTCTACTCCCAACATCACCAGTGGTCCACCACAACACAGTAGAAGCCCATGGCCCACAGCCTCCTGTCCAGCTGGGGGCTTCTGTGAAAGTATTTAATGATATCATCTCGGATTACAAAGAGCTTCCTGGGTCATACGTACACTAGAAGCCAGGGGCAGGGGATAAGGAATTAGGGAATTGACTCCCTAGGAATCCCTAAGGAATTAAGACAGTATCATAAGGGTAGACCCATAGGCCAAAGGAAGAGAACAGAGCTTCCAAAAAAGACCCACAGCGGACTCACAACAAAGATGACAGACCCAAAAGACTAGCCTGTATGATTCCATTTACATGATGTTCAGTAGTGAACAAAAGTGGTCTATGGTGACAGACGTCAGGGTGAGGGTATGGTCTGGGAGAGGGTATGAGGGAGCCTGCCAGGGGCTGGAAACTGATTTCTCCCTGGCTAGTGATTACGTGCTATATCCACATGAAAACTCACTGAGGTGTACCATTACGATCTGGGGCCTTACATAAGTTAGGTCTGATGTCTGATTCTTCCTCTGCACAATGGAGACAATAAGACCTCCCTCCTAAGGTTCCAGGGCAGAAAGGGCCTGGCCCCGGGAGCCAAGGAGTCAATCAACACTCACCGTACAAGGAACTAAAGGAGGAATGAACAGAGCCCAACAATGGCAATGATCATGGAAACAACAATAATGAACCAGCTGCCAATCTGGAGCCCTAACCACACGCCAGGCGCTGTGCTAACACAGCTTGTGCACTAACTCAGTCCTCGCATCTCTGTCACTTGGAACAACGTCCGTATGAAATGGACAAAACAACCCTTGGTGTAAGCTAGAGAGAGAAGGGTTGCAGTCAGATAGCACCTGCGTAGCCCGTGGTTTCTCGGTCAGTACTCTGATGTGGCCGTCAACCCAGTGGCCCAGATTCCACTGCAGTCCAAGGCAAGCCCTTGGGAGGGAGATGGAGAAGGGAGACAAGTAAGGACTCCGAAGTCATATAGACCTGGGTTCTAATCCCGGCTCTGCTTCTGCTAGCTGTGTGAGGGTGGGCAAATGGTTTAAGCTCTCTGAGCTTTAGCTTTCTCATTTGTAAATGGGGTTAACAATATATCCTTAGCATGACAGAGGTAAGGAGCAAAGATTATATGTGTCACATGCTTGGCACATATTAGTAGCATATAATAATTATTGTTTGTTATTGTTTTTCCCTAATCACTCCGATATCAGCTTGCCCAACTAGGCATGTCCACAGAAAACAGAAAACCAACACTCTACGCCAGCCCTGCCTCACAGAAGCCAACCGAGGGCATGAGGCTGGCTTATTTACCAACCCACAGATTTACAGTATGTCAACAGAGGTTCCGCTCTGCACAGAACACTGGCCTGGTCTGCACGGCAGAGACAGGAGCGGATGAGATTAGACCCCCAGGGCACCACCCTGCCTCAGCTCCCACAGGCCACCTCCAGCCCAGCTGTCCCCTCTTCCCAGGCACCTCGCTCAGCCACAAGCAAGCATCTACACCAGAGCACATCTCTGTTTGTACTTGTCTTTGAAATCCAAACTGCCTCTGGTTAAATGCCATTACAGCCCTAAGCTCACTGGATCCAAAGAGATTAATAGATTTGGGGGTGCTGCCTGAATGAAAATCCCACTGCAGCTGGCAGTAACTAAATGCCAGTAACCTGGGAGTGAGGTGACGGGGGGACGGAGTGAGGCCTCTGGGATCCTTCCCAATCAGCAAGCAGAGCCCCTGCTTCCCTTCACGGCTGTTCAGAAAAAGCCAAAGGTGACCCCTTCCCTTTTTCCACTGGATCCAAAGACTTTGTCCTCAAGAGTCCTAGTGGGCAAAGGACTCCTAACTAGATGCAGGATGTACCCCTACCCCAACCAACAGGGGGCAAGATGGGCAAGCAGGCCGCTCTGCCCACCCTCCCTGACTAGCCCTAGAAGCCGACAGCGGGGGCAGCAGGGGCAGAGGCCCCGCGGTATGCTACTGGCCTGTGGCCTCAGGAAAGATATTTGCTCTCTCTCTCTGAACTTTTCTCCCTATCTGTAAAGGGGAGGGCTGAATTGGAACAGTGGTTTTCTCATCCTTTGTCTCCAAGCAGACTCTTCCAGGAAAGCCCAATGGTTGTGTATCAAACTCCTTAAGGAAGGGAATTGTGTCTGGTTCCCCTCCAAACCTCCACACCTAGGACACCACAGGGACTGTAAAAATGATGAGTGTTGTTGAAAAGTATAAATCCACCCCTAACTGTGGGACCCTATGGTGACAAGAAGAAAATGTAGTACAGGTCCCACCACACTAGCCAGCTTTCCCTGAGACCAACGTGTGGGAACAGAAGCCCCTTTCTTCCTGAAGTGGAAATAGCTGGCCACTGCCGTCCCCTTTTGGCCTGATACCTTGAGATCTGGAGAGGCGCGGGGAGGGGGAGAGGGTTGTGTCCAGGCCCCAAGAGGCAGAAGGACTAAGTCACATGAATTTCTCACTGTCGTTGTCTGCGGCCACTCGGCCTGTGGAGCTTGGATGGTACAAGAAGACAGGTGGCAGTCACCTGTCCAGAAGGAGCTGTAAGGAGGGGCTCAGTGCCTGCATCCCTCTGCGTGCTGCAACCCTAGCTTTAGGGGACAGGGGAGAGGGCTGTAACAGATGACTTGGAAGGATGCTCTGTACTCAGATTTTACAATGCTTCAGACAACAAGCCCCATTTCAGGGCAGTGAGACCTCACCTTCACACACCTGCCCTTGCTGGGCAGCCCCAACCAAACACGTGCCCCTAGCACCGCAGCCATGAGCTCTCAACCTCACCTCGTTGACATCAATCTTGTTCCTCTCCATGTAGTCTCTGTCGTTGACCTGCCCACCATCCAAAAACTCCATCAGAAGGACCCGCTTGGTGGACAAATCCCAGTAGATTTGGGGGACCTGGAACAGGAAAGGGCAAGTGAGAAAAGTCTGGGGGACTGGGAGCTGGGGGACAAAGGCCACCAAGAGGCACAGCGAGCCAGACAACAGCAGACACTCCTCCCAGGAACAGGAGAGAAGGCCTGAGAGGGACTTCAACAGTGACAAGTGGGAAAGAGGGAGGCAGGACAAGAGAGAAGGGCAGGCTGCCCACCAGCCATGCCCCCGGCCACCTCCTCTAGAGACAACTCATGCTGGGGAACAGAGAATGGCTTCTCTGCTCTCCTTGGTGCCTTCCAGCCACAACTAAAAGCCAAAACTAAAATTGGGACTTAGGGGAAAATGTGTGGAACCTCTCATACCTGAGCAAGAGTTGGTGTTAAAAGCTATTTCCCTCTCCCACCAGGCCCATTTCAGGCTCCTGACAAGAATCTCAACCCTCTGCCTCAGTTTCTACACCTGAGTAATTGGTGTATTGTACCTATGTGTGAATGTATAAATGGATGAATGAATGGATGTTTACTGGATGATAAATATTTCGATCAGGAAGTCATGAGTTTTCTCATGCCCATTTCCTATAAGACCCTGTGGCAAACAATGCTGGGTCCTAACCCAACACCTATCCCCAAACCTCCTCTTTCCCAGAAACAGGAGAAACTAAATACTCTCCCGGCCTGCCTTGCAATAGTTTGACCATGTGGCACAGTTCTGGCTTATGAGACATAGTGGAGGTCTGCTAGGGGGTCTGGAAAGGTTTTTATTTTCTAGATAAGAAAAGGGGTGTTTGTAGATGATGCAACTCTTCTTACATTTCTCTTCCTACATTTCTCTTCCTACCTTAAAGTGAATGTGATACATGGAGCTGCAGCAGCCATCTTGCAACATGAGGAAAAGGTCAAGAAAATCAGCGATGCCAGCCCTGATATAGTTAAACCACTAAGACGATCAGCAGTCAGCTTCTGTGAGCCTTCCTGCTATGCAAGGAAAATAAATCCTTTTTGTTTAAGACCCTCTAAGTAGGGCTGTCAGTTACCTGTAGACAAATGCATTCCCAAATGATACGCTCTCCAACCCCCTCTGACTCTGAGAATACCCAATAGCCAAAAGGAGAAAAGATTTCCCCAAGAATAGGTGAAAGATTGGACTGCACCAAGGACTGCTGGGCTGCCATGTGAGTGAGCGACACCCAGCAGTCCCACCACAGCTAGGAAGGAGGAATTACCAGACAGCAACACGCCATGTCTCCCCAACTACTTGATGGTTTATTTCTACTTACAAATAAAGAAACAAGGGCAGCTAATTCAAGTGTTTGGGGGAATAAGGACTTTCCCTCATCCTGACCCCCAAACTCATCTAGCAGTAAGATAACAGCCCTGACGTCAAAAAACCTGCTCCCTGGTCCTAGTTCTGCTAATAACTGTTGTGACTTAGTCTGGCCCCTGACCTCCTCTATGCCTCAGTTCTCATTAGAAAGGAGACTGTTCCTGCCCATCTCAATAAGGAGCTTTGAGCATAACTGGGGCCACATACAAGTATAATGCTCTGGGCTCCCTGGAACAAAGGTTTCAATGGCAATCAAAGTGTCATTCTGGTTTGCTACTTTCCTGCAGCTTTTGCCATTTGAAAATCTGGGCCAAGAGAGAAATCCGTGACTCTCTGTTACTTTGAACTTAAAATTCAGTTTTGCTTGGCATTTTTCAAAAGGTATCTTTAAAAATATAAGTGAAAGTCTGCTGTTGTTGTTCATGGCTTCCAAGTGCAAGAGACATGTTTTGGGGTTCAGTTCTTCCCTTGGTGCATCTGGAATGGAAGCTTGGCAGTAGGCACCTGGAGCTCTGCAGACAGATAGTCAGACCCCCATCTGACTACCTGGGGCAACGTGGAAACAGCCATGAAAGAATTACTGATGGAAAGAGAAATCCAAAGGCTGGAGACTTTCCAGGCTTGTCAACCAGGGTCATGGGTGTGCTGGGACTCCCCCTCCACCACCTTTCCCACACCTCCTCCCAAATGCAACCATCCCAGTCTCACAGCAGAATGTGCCCCTTGCTTCAGCTGCTTAGATCTGGGGTGACAGAGATATCAAACCTGGGAGATTGAGGCATTTGTAATGGGAGCTCAGCGAGGACATTGCCCCTGGAGGGATGTACCATGGAAATAACTGCAAAATGCAAAACTGTTCCCTGCTCAGTTAGGAGAAGCTTGGCTTGACCTGGGGACTTGCCCCTAAATCACCATGTGGGCAGGAGGTTTAGGGTGTGAGGTGAAATTCACTTCACCCAAACACCCATGTAGCACCACCAATCCTTCCCCTGCTTCTTCTATCAAGGACAGGAAAGATGAAAGACACAAATTTTAAAGTGGTAACAAGAAGAACTACTGTCCCAGCCCCAATAAAACTAAACCCTGGGAGGCTCATGACCAGGGTACCTGCTGACCCCACAGGCATGGTCAAGCCCTGGCGACTGGGACCTCTGAGTCCAGGGTCTCCTTGTCACAAAGCAGAGGTCCCGCTCCTGTGGCCTCCATCTGCTCCCACACTGGGGCCAGTCCTGACCCCAAGAAAGAGAGCCCAAACTATGGAAAGTTCCAGCTAAAGACCCTGGGCCTGTCTCACAGCCTGGCTTCTGCTCTTTTCCTGTGTTTTGGTCAGAACACTGTGAAGCAAGGCCTGGCTTGTTTGGGGCAGGGCCACAGCCCACACCACCCACACCCAGCAGATCAGAGCACAGACTCAGAGCAGACTATCCAGCCAGAGCCCTGCTGTGTCTCCTCCAAGCTGTGTGACTATGGTTATGTTTTATCACCTTTCTGAAAGCCAGTTTCCCTACCTGTAAGAGGGTGATGACAATTACTATGGAAGCAACACTCCATCCTTCCTAGTAGCACCTGTGGAGTCCTGGTGCTTGACAGGGAAGCACTCGCCTAGTAGCTGCCGGACAGGCCTCAGCTGCCATGTGACAGCCACACAGTTTCACATGTGGTTCTGATACACAACCAGAGTTCAGAGTTCATGGTACAGACAGTTCAGCATAATTCAGATCTTCCCCACAAACTACTACACTGGCAGAAGAGCACAGTGGTTTAACACGAAGGCTCTGGAGCTGGCTGCCTCCATTCAGAGCCTGCCTCTGGCCCTTTCCCAGGAAGCTGTGTGACCTTGGACAAATGGTTCCTTCTCTCTGAGGCCCAGTTTTCCCATTGGTGACATGGGGCTAATACTGGCATCTCCCTTATGGGGCTGTTAAAGGAGTAAAGTTTAAACACATCTAATGCACTTTAAAAATTGTCTAACACAGCATAAGCATGTAAAAATCATAACTAATATTAATTATTGTACATCACTGGTTCTTAGTCTTTGAGATTCTTAGGAAGCGATGGCACTTCTCCAAAAGCATGCACAAGGTTTTTCCACAGCCTGGAGAGGCCCAGGCTCCTGACCTCGTGCTGGGAAACCATGGACTTGGGATGGTGAACACACAATGCAGTATACAGAGGATGTATTACAGAATTGTACCCCTGAAACCTATATAATTTTATGAACCAATGTCACCCCCAATAAATTCAATAAAATTTTTTTAAAAAAGAAACCGTGGAGTGGCCCTACTCAAGGGGATGACGCCACCTCCCATCCCCACCCCCATGTGTAAAGCTACACACTCCCATCTCTTCCAGNTTTTTTTAAAAAAGAAAAGAAACCGTGGAGTGGCCCTACTCAAGGGGATGACGCCACCTCCCATCCCCACCCCCATGTGTAAAGCTACACACTCCCATCTCTTCCAGTCCCAAATCCTGTGGTTATAAGGCTTCTCCCTCCTACTTGTGCTAAGTGTCCCCCAGGTCAGTCACAGACCTCCCTGTTTGTCCTGTCCTTCCCCCAGCACACACTCTGATGCAAATCCACAAACGCCCTGGTCTTGACCGTTCAGCCTGGCTGCCTCCTCACACCCCCTGTCTCCCCAACATCACATTTGCATTCGGTCCTTGTCTAAGGCTCAGAGATTTATAGCATGGGGCTGAGGTTATTACACCCCACTGGAAGATGCCTCGCGCACGGAGAGGTAAATTCTTGGCTGAGGCTTAATTACGCACAGATGTTGTGATGGGGTGCCAGTGTGCAAAAGCAATCTATCTCCAGTTTTAAGAGCTGAACTGGGTTTGCAGCGCTCAAAATTCGCTTCCCACTTGTTATTTGTTTAGGCAAAATTAATTACTCAAAAGCCTTGATGCTACCGTTGTCTTAGGAATGGGTGTGCAGGTTTTAGAAGCAGCGGGTCAAATCTATACGTTAATTATTTATCCATTTGGCATCCTCATTTCAAAAATGTGTGTTATTATTATTATTACATGTCTTGGTCTGGCAGATGCTAGTTGGCCCCAGCCAGGGGACAATTTGGCTGTTTCCATGGGAACAGAGGAGGAGATGGTTCTGTTTGTCTGGCTCATAGTTCTAGCTCTGAAGAGCACCCCTGCCGGGTAAGAGGCAACAGAATGTCCTCAGCCGAGTACCAGAGTTGAAGTCAGAAAAGCTGGGTTGCAGCCCGAGCACCCCCACTCTGACTGCTGTCTGCAGAATGGAATGACGGTTGACGGAAGGATTCAATGCCATCGTGCCTGCATAGTGCTCCGTGCAGTCAAAAGAAACATTCAGTAAATACTGGCTATCCCCTTGTAAAACCAGCACTTCTTGGAAGGCCCCTCTGAGCTCCATATCCAGGGTGGAATTAAGTACTTCCTCCTGGCCATCCACAGAAACATGGATAAGTCAGTCTCTGTCATCGCATGACCAACCTGTACTATAACAACACATTTGTGTGTCTGTCCCCCACTAGATGGGAAGTTTACCCAGGCAGGAGCCAACCATCTCTTACTCACCTATACATGCCTCAGCTCCTAGCAACGGAATCCGGATATGCTCAATCAATGTGGAATAAAGGAGTGAAAGAAATGGAATATGTAAGTGAAAGCCTATTTTAGACTCCACAGCATCATGCTAGTTAGTTAATATTATTACCTGTCTGAGAGAGCCAAGTTTTCACTGAACTGGTGATTTCAACGTCAAGACTGGGGCAGCGTTACCAGAGCTAGTCTGCACATCTGGATTTACAGACACAAGAGGGTCTGTGTGTCCATGTCCATGGTGGCAGCTGAGAAGGAGCCAGTCAAGCACACTTGGGATATCCAGACAGACCTGACTCCCAACTCAAAGGGCTCAACTTTGCCAGTGGCTATGCCTTCCACCTAAACCAATGTGTCAAGATGCTATACCACAGCTGTGGCTTTTCCTCCCATGAGCCAGACTTTTTGATTCTTAGGTAGCCAGTGTAGACACACCCCTAGTCTCCCACCTCTGTTAATCAATCCAGAAAGCAGAAGTATAAACACTACCTCCATTTCTCATGATGTCTCCCAAGCCACATGAGCACCATAGTCCCGAGCAAGAGACCCATTCAATGTCCTGAGATACCCTCTCCAAGAGGGGTGTTGCCTGACAGCTCTGGAAAAGCTCCTAAGGGCTTTGTGACACCCCCTCTCACATTCTCCAGGCCTCCTGGGTTAAGAGAGAAGGGTTGATCTCTTCTGAGAGTTAAAAGTCAACCTCTCTATATAGACTACCACAGGGTCCCACCCCCTGCCCCATGAAGAGGTGGCCCTGGGTAAATGGATCCAAACTCTGCTAAGGATAAAATGCTTTAGAATAGCAATGTTGATGCACATCTCAATCCAACCCCTATGTGCCCTGTGAAGAACATCAGGACAGTCCTCAAGGACCAGCTCCAGTGCCAACTCCTCAGCAGCACCTTCCGGCCCTGACCAACCGCAGGAGTCCCTTCTTCTGAATCTCTGGAGCACTTACCAGCAGGACCTCTCACAAAGCCGCAACTTTGAACTGTCTGCTATGTTTCCCACAGTAAGTGTCTTCTATTATACAGGTAGTTCTACTCTAATGCTTGAAAACACAAATCTGTTCCAATGCTAGTGACATATCAGGGAACAGTCTGATCATAGTACAAATTTTGCATTTGTTTATGGGCACTATCATCCATGAGAGATACCACGTGAACACAAAAAGCTGCGCCTGGCGGGGCAGCACCACATAGGAATATACAAGACACGCATACCTCAAATGACACCACATATGATTTGTGTCACACCCACCCACACCTAGTGCCACAACTTTCCTTCCGGTTTCAGATGGCCCTCCTTCCACCACCTGGTAATGGCTCACAAGTGGCAACTCTTCTGATGTGCACTTCCCAAGCAGGTGTCAAGGTGAAGCAAGGAAGGCTCTTGCTCTGATGCATGTGGCTGAACTGTGGTCTTAGGTATTTCATAGCTATTTAACGTGTGTGAAACTATGCTACCGTTTTTGTTTGGGTTTTTTTGTGTGTGTTTTTTTAAAATATATCTTTATTGACTTCAGAGAGAGGAAAGGAGAGGGAGAGACAGACAGACAGAAACATCAATGATGAGAGAGTCATTGGGGATCGAGCCTGCAACCTGGGCATGTGCCCTGACCAGGAATTGAACCTCGATCTCCTGGATCCTAGGTCAATGCTCTAACCGCTGAGCCACGCCCGGCCGGGTTATGCTACCGGTTTTATTAGGTTCCTATATTCTTTTATTCTCCGTGTCCCTGATCATGTTTTTTAGTGTTTTAAGCATAATCTCTTTTCCCCATAAGCCTGTGGTTTATGTTGTGTGATTTTACATACTGTGGGTATTTCTAAGAACACATACATTGTGTTATAGCGGAACTGACTGTACAGTAAATGAGCTAATTTAATATACATAAAGTGTTAGGAACAGTGCCAGAGTGCAGGAGCATTAACTATCATCATCATCACCATCACCATCCCCACTACCACCACCACCACCACCATCAGCAGGACCATAACCCCATTTTTCATCATCATCATCATCATCACTATCAACCCATGTTTCATAGAGGCAGAGACCACAGCTCACAGGCCCTAGGGTAGCATTCAGTGTCTTGAAACTGTAGATAATTCAATAAACATCTGTTTGAGTGACTGACAGGTCAACAATAACATTTGGTATTTCTTTGTAATGTTGCCTTCAAGGAATCTACTGTGCATCACACAGAACGATGTCTCCACTCATGTCCTGCCAGGGGGGATGCTAGGGGCCAGGGCCAGTCCTCTCCTGTACTCTCCCACCAGACCATGATGTCCTCATTGCTCTGCCCCTCCTACCTTTAAGAAGTCAAAGTGCTTGAGCATTTGGGCCACTTTCTCCGCGTTCCTCCCTTCATTAAGGAAATCCAGCTCCAAAGGCAGGTTCTTCTTAGCTTCATCCACCAACCACATGAACTCAAACTCTGGAAACAGCTGCTTGACAGCCAGGACGAGCACCTGAAATCCGCCAGACATGCCATCAGTCAGCTCATGGCACCCCACCTAGGCACCCTGCCCTCCTGCCTGGGTCTAAATGTTGACAGTTCACCAGGTCTCCCCTAGAGTAATAGCGTAAGGGTGGGTGGGAAAACTGCTCCCCTGGGGCCCATCGCTATAGTCCAAATCCAAGATGATAAAAAGCCAACAGCCACCCGCAATAACAAAAACCATCATTTGCTGAGCGCTCCCCTCATGCCCAGCACTGGCTCAGCACTTTACTAAGCTTCTCCACTTCCTCTTCACAACTCTGGGAGGTACACGGTATACACTCTTATCATCTCTCCATTTCACAGATGAGGAATTTGAGAGGTTATATGATTTTTCTGAATTTGCCCAGCAAGGAAGGGCAGAAACAGAATTCCCCTTGGGTCCACCCAGCCCCCNGCTCTGAGAGGTTATATGATTTTTCTGAATTTGCCCAGCAAGGAAGGGCAGAAACAGAATTCCCCTTGGGTCCACCCAGCCCCCACACCCTTGCTCTGAAGCATGTGGCTGAATTGCTGCCTTCGCTGCCCCAGGCTTCATGGTCCCGCTTACAAAGGGCTGGAGTGCGCTGCCACACTGCCACTGCGTTTTTATTTATGTCTTAAACAGAGTGGTTGGTACCTGAGCATTTATAATGTTACTGTCTATGCTTTTTGTACATCTAAACTATTTTGTGATAAAATAAAGTTTTAACTGGAATAAGAAAACAAGGTTGGATAAGACAAGAGGAGTAAGAGATAAGGGATTTGACCACTTGGATGAAAAGCTTGGATTTTGACAATTTGGCCCCACTATGGATTTTTGAGTGAGGACAGGATGAAGAAGGGAGTTTTAGAAGACTTGTCTGGAATTTCAGTTGTCAGTTTAATGAAGTGAAATTAAATGTCACTGGCAGGGAACAGGAGTCCAGTGGCATCTGCAGAGCACACCCGGGCCCCTCCATGGACAGGGACTCAGTTCTGAGGCTACCTCACCACTGGAGCTCTGGATCTGAGACAGTCTCACAAGTTCACAGACAATATCTCTGCAGTGGGTAAGCAAGGTTGACACCTGGGACGTGGGAGATATTCCAGCATTCCAGGAGGGAAACACAACAGGCAACTCTCTGGCCCTCCAATAAGCCCTCCTGTTAGGGTTCAAGGTCGGGCCTGGGGAGAGTGCTGACCAATCCTCCCAGTAATTCTTGGTATAGGTTCTAGCCCAAGTTCTCTGAGAATACCCATCTTCACCCCTGGCTGGAACACACAGACAATGAACAACAACTAAGGAGCCGTGGGCCCGGGGTTACCTTCCCCAACTGTTACGGACTAAATGCTTGTGTCCCCCTACCCCTCCAAATTCATGTGTTGAAGCCCTAACCCCAGTGTGATGGTGTTTGGACAGGAGGCCGTTGGGGGCTAATTAGGTTTAGGTGAGGTCATGAAGGTGGGGGCTCTAAGATGGACTAGTGTTCTTGTACGTAGAGAGAGACCAAAGCCCACTCTCTCTCTGCCATGTAAGGACACAGAAAGAGGGCAGCTATCTACAAGCCAGGAAGCAAGTCCACACCAGGAACTGAATCATCCGGCACCTTGATCATGGACTTCCAGCCTCCAGAACTGTGAGAAATAAATGTCCCAGTTTAAGCCACCTAGTCAATGGTATTTTGTTATGGCAGCCCCAGCAGACCAACACACCATCCAGTCTATCCAGAAGGATTTACTGAGCCCCACCTATGAGTCTTGGCTCATGCTCCCTTTTGTCCTGGTCTATATAATATTATGCCCAACACTGTGTAAGTCACAAGCGGTACAAAAGAAATAAAGCTAAGGCAGAGCCATTAACTACAAAGCATTTATGGTTTTGTTTTTAAACATAAGTCCTAGGCTATGTACCTAACACCGGTCTAAAAGAATCATCACACAGGGTTATTATATTCAGTTTCTCTCACAACTCTCTTTAATTACATTCAGCTGCAGTCTAATTTCTTTTAAGTCTTGTCTAGTCTTTCACAGGCTGGACCTGTGACCTTATGATAATCGATTTCGTTTATGTTTTGTTTCTGTTTGTGTCACATGAAACTAGAAGGCAGTGGTGGCAACAGCCAGGCCCAGGCGGAGACACCTGGGCACAGCAGCCTCCAGGCATGGCATCTCGTCACCATGCCCTCAGAAGGCCCTGAGCTGCCGCCAAAGGGGAAGCAGAGCCGGCGCACAGGAAGCAGAGGCACCGCGCCGGCCTGGGCAGGGCCACACACACCACCTGAGGCACCTGGATTCTTCTCTGGGCTCTGAGTTCAGGCAAGAAACCTCTTTGGACTTTGGCTCCAGTGTAAATTCCAGAGGTTCTCACCCAGCAGGAACAAGGGAAGGAGCCACAATGAGGCTCAGTCATTTGTTCATTCAATGTTTACTGATCGCCTCCTAGGTAATGACTCTGGGTCAGACATGGGTCTACGGAGGGAGTTACAGGCAACCTAGTGGGGTCTACACCTGGGAATGAGGCTTCCGGGCAAACAATAAATCCTATCATTTACTGTATGATCACTGTTATTTGTAAAATTTTTAATTATCATTAATATCCAAACAGCACTGATAGGCACTTTAAAGATTTTCCTGTTACTAATCAATTACATAATTAGTTATTACTAGTACTATTGGTTATTATTAATACCTAATGTCATTAATCATAAAAGCAGTGAAAGATTTTATTGACTGATATTGCTAATAACTAATTAGTAAAATAATTAATAACCCAAAAACTACACAGTACTCATTCAACAGTTTCTAAAACATTCTCTGGGTGGTGAGTGAAGTACTCCCTTGGTTACTTTTTTATTTTATTTTAATATGTTTTGTTGATTTGAGAGAGAGAGGAAGAGAGAGGGAAAGAGAGAGAGTAAGACATCAATGTGAGAAACATCAATCGGGGGCCTCCTGCCCACCCCCTACTGGGGACTGAGCCCACAACCCGGGCATGGGGTGACGCTCAACCAACTGATCCACACTGGCCAAGGCTCCCTTGGTTACTTTAAAATGAAGGTCTGTTTCACCTGGTGGGGCAGGCTCAGCAGTTGAGCATCGACCTAGGATCCAGGAGATCAATTTGATTCCCAATCAGGGCACATGCCCAGGCTACAGGCTTGGTCCCCAGTAAGGGGCATGCAGGAGGCAGCTGATCAATGACAACTCTCATCATTGGTGTTTCTATCTCTCTCCCTCCCCCTTCCTCTCTCTGAAATCAATAAAAGATTAAAAAATAAATAAATAATAAAATAAAATGAAGGTTCGTTTGAATGGAAATCAGTGGTTCTTAGCTTCCTAGGAGGACACCACCCCTGTTATAGGAAGTCACCAATTTGAAAATTTGGTGTCAGCAATGAAGTCCAGAAAGTGTACATGCTCACATAATTTTGCACATAATTCAGGGGTTGGGGAGAAGGGTCAGATTAAGCATTGTCTGGTCCAAGTCTAAAATGGTTTGGGCTGCTGCCATCTTAGACTTTTCTTGGCTGAGTAAAATAAAATAAAACTCAAGTTTCACCTTCTATTTTCATTCATTTCCCTTCTTAAGAGCCTGCCCTAAGTAGATTCACTTACGTTTTTCTTTTTTGACAACAGATGCAATCAACTGAAATAAAACAGGTGCTGTTATCAATTTGACTTTTTGATTTTTCTTCTGAAATGTATCTTCTCCATAAAATTCCTCCAACAGCCAATATTTTCACCAGTGTCTAGCACATACTCAATACTTGGCAGATGTTTATTGAGTGGTCACATGAATAAGTGACTGAATGAATAAATGAATGAACAAATGAGCTTTTCAAAGGGTTTGTCCTCTCCCAAGAGATAATTATATGTTCACAGGTATGTTATCCAAATGGATTAAGTTTTTCTATTTCTGAGGTTTTGATGGGAAAAGGGATTATCTCTGAATTTGGGGGAACCACAGTTTTGGAATGCCTGAGAATTTTCTACTTGATTTGGAACCTTACAAATCAATCAAGGTATACTCAACAATTAATACTTCCTTCAAGGTAAAATAATGAAATTCTTTTCCTACAGGGTCACTGCCTCACAGGAGGAAAATTCAATTGTACCACACAGAAATATAACAGAAAAATTAAGAGTCACATAAAAGCTTGAAAACTTGATTGCTATTTATAACAGCAAAAAAAAAGTGGGGGGAAATTATCTTTATTTAGTACCTACTACATGCCAGGCACTATGCTAACAAAGCGTTTTATATACATGTTCTCATTTCATTTCTCTTGCCAATTTCACAAAAAAGGAAACCGGTTCCAGGATGTTAAAGCACTTCTCAAGGTCATGTACTTGTAATTTTAAATGCAGGACTTGGATGCAGGTGGGGATTTTTTGGTTGGTTGGCTTTTGGGGGGTTTTTTGCTTCATTCTTTGTGCAGCCCTGTCTCAGGCAATACAATACAGGACGATACAATAGGAAGCCTGAGATAAGGCATAAAAAGAGCTTTGTAAACTGTCACATGCAGCTGAAATGCGAGTTACTGTTATCAAGTTATTACACATTATAAAAGAAATAATGTTCTAAGGGAAACAGCACACGACATAGAACACCTGCGCAGATCCAAACAGGTAGAAACGGATGTTTGACTACGATCAAAAATCAATTCGGAATGATGTAAATAACTTGCTGTTCACGGGCTTATCTTTGTTCTGATACGCTGTTAAAGACCACACTTTTTAGAAAACAGAATTACAGGGTGAAGAGAAGTTTCCATGGGGTTGTCTACACCTCTGGGTTTTTAAATATATATATACATATCTTTAAAAATAAAATCAACTGTTGGATTCCGTGCCAAACATAAACATTACCTAGCCACCCACTGTTCAATCAACACATTCAGAAAAGAAACAAAATGACAGACAGCACACACTGAAAATGTTGTTCCAAAAAAGTCAGAAACATGACTGTCACGGGTCTTTATTTTTAGAGACCTTTGGGATGGGATGGGT